TCATATTAGAAAGTTTGTTACATTTGCATTCACGGCGGCTTTGCTTTTCACTACAAAAGAAACGAACACCCTTGTGGAGATGTCTCATATTTTACAAAAACCAGTGACGCCTAGTGGTGCATCTGAGTATGAGCCCTGTGGTACTCTATATTTGACTGGTGACATTGACTATGGAGTGCAATTATTTGGCACTTCAACATATTGATAACGATTAGTCAAATAGGATTTAAACCACTTCAACACCATTCCACACAACCCAACATACAGTACCCCACATCTTATTCATTGGCGAGTTTACGGTTCCATCTTACGGTTGGGATGGAAACACTGACGTTTCAAAGCGTAAGGAGAAAAAGTTAAACATGCAAAAAAATGCTTTGTTGTGCTCTTTAATTGTCATTGAATTTGTTGATTCCATATCGGGTTAGTGTCTGCCTGTTGAGCGCTCAGCTCACACGAGCCGTGCACAATACAGTGGCTATTAGGAATAGTTATTTAAAGACGTTGTGATGGCAAACAAAACTGTTTACCAGTTTCATTCAGTAAGACGAATGAAAAGGACGCGAACAACGTAAGCCAAGGTGAGCACACTGCTGCTGCTGCTAACAATGCAAATGTACACAAAAGAGGTGTCAGGATGTGGCCAGACACAGGCGGGTAAACAAGCTACCTGTACATACAGGAAAGCCACTTCCTCGGGGAGGTGCGTTATAGCCCGCGGTGGCCAATCCCCTTGGGTCTGAATAATACGGTACTCACGCGAAAGTGGCTGCTGCAGCAGTTCACCGCGTTGCTTTGCAATTTGTAGTCTCTTTTTGTTATGTGAAAGCGAGTTGTTATAATATGTGTTATATTTAGGACATATGTATTCACTTCTCACACTGGAAGCATCCTATGTAGCATCATGTAACATGACTAGTTTACGTCGTTCATCTCTTTCTCTCTCTCTCTTACGTTGCCCCTTCCGCCCCAGAAACTGAATCTAGGATTGTTTTTGTACAATTGGTGGCCCCTAAGCCAAAGAATTTTGTTACAAAAATAAATAGAATTCATTCTTTGTTGCTTTGTTTTATTTCCTCAGTCCAGGATGAAGAGAACTGTCCTGTGACTACAGACCACTGGAGCTGGCTCTGAAACAGAAATTATACCAGACCTTTTCCCTCCAAATAATCCTCTTAGTCTTCTCTGATTTTGGCCTTCTTAGACTTTAAAGCTGTATTATAAGCGGAGAGCGCCATCTTCCATTATCCAGATGGCAAAGCTGACATGGTTTAGTGTGCAGAACGTGTTAGGCTCCCCTTCGTTCTAGCATGTGGTGGGCCACGCTGGTTATGGTTTCCTTTCTCTGCTCCGAAACCCCATATGTCTCGCTGTGGTAGAGGTTATACTATTCTATCCTTCTCTGGTAATGCTGGAAAGCTGTCTTATTGGTACCCTGTTGGTACTCTGTCTCTGCATCCACCGGTACAGGTCCTATCACTTGCCGAGGTTGCGGATTGTAGATTGAACCAAATGAACAAAGAGCATTTAAGATATTATGGGACTTTACTGTCAACGTGGAGCAGTTCATTGCAGTTTAACACTCTTTAATGACAGCAGAAACCTCATAAATATGCAGACATACAGGAAGGAAATCCTTCTATCCTTTTTGTATCTGATGCAAACTTGTTTTGAGAAAATGGTTTGTTGACAGAAGCAGGCTTTGTGTAACTTGTGTGCAGGGTGGTGGTAGGTGATATGGAGGCTGTCCAGTCTTGTGCTCCTTGGGAAATCGAAAAACATTCCATTGCTGTGACACATGCTCTTCAGTTAGCGCAGTGTGGGAGTCGAGGACCTGTGCGGTAATGTAAACAACATAGCAATAAAATCATGGGAAAACAAGGCAAGTACTGACAAACAGGGTTGTCAGTCCTCTGAGCATAATCTGTTTTCACAGACCAGGAAACAGGGAAAGTTTTGCTTGTGGATAATGGGAAATCACCAGTTTTGCCAGTGTAATCATCTGACTGGGTGTTTTCAGCCAAAAGATAAGTGGAAAGAGAATGAAGGAAAATGTCTGAAAGGAACGACAGCATCTATGATCACACTGGCCTCTTAAGTGATGGCATGTCCTGGCCAGAGATCCAGTATTTGGATCCTGCATCAGGTCACACCTTCTGCGGTCTGGGGAGGCACCTGATACTACTTTATTTTTATACTTGTTCCATACACATTTCAGTAGTTAATATCGCTGCTGTGGCTGTTTAGATACCCACTGTATTTCACAACTCCTGAAATGTGAGAGGTGAATTGGTTTCCTCAGGTAGAAACTAAAGGCCAAGTTTACTACCAAATTGAGTACATTGATTGACGGAAGTAAGGAATTGTTGGGAGAATAGAAATAAATAAATAATATTAAAGCATGTGGGGGGAAAAAACAGGTTAGATCTGTATCAAGTTCCAAAAATGGAACATTGAGGAAACATAACTAAATCTCATTTCTGGTTGCTCAAGAGCTGCTTAAAGCATGATTCCTACACTTGATCCTTGATAAAATGTACACTGCTTAAAATAAACAATTTGGCTCTATGACATGACAACATTTGTGTAAACAAAACAGCATGTTAAGAATCCCTTCAACGGGAGAACAGAAATAAATCTGATTGGCATTGTTCACATATGAATGAAGAATAGATAGCAGCATATTGCCACTGAGACAGACAGCTGTTGTAAGTATAGATAGGAAATAGAGAAAATAACCTCTGGGGGTCCAAGGTCAACTGGATGCCCAGCCCCCCCCCCTAACTAACTGTCACTTTATTTACATGTGGAACAACAAGAAAACGTGTATTTTGTGATCTGAGTGGACGATGCAGCTTGTAAGCATGAATTAATTCTATTAGGTAGACAGGTGCTAGACCTTTAAATGCCTTATATGTAAGTAGGAGAACTTTGAAGTCATTCCGGAACCTAACGGCAAGCCAGCACAGGGAACTAATAGCAGGGGTTCTGTGTTTGAACTTCCTGCTTCTGGTGACAATTCGAGCTGCAGCATCTTGAATACGCTGCCAGGTGTTTTATGTGCAGTCTGTGCTCACAAATAAGAGCATTACAGTAGTTCAACCTGCTGTATAGAAAAGCAAATATCAATTTCTCAGTGTCATGAATAGTAAGGAATCGTTGTAGATTGGCAATGTTACATAGTTGTAGGAAGCAAACCATCAATACTGCATCCACATACAAGGCTTGTACCTAAGATGACACCTAGGTTACGGTTGAGCTGCTAAGGGAAAAGTTCAGCCCCTTGGAGTGTAGTACAGAGATTATAGCATCCGTGGACTTGCCTCCAAACAACATAACCTTGGTTTTCTGGGCTATTTAGCAATAATAAGTTTTCAGTCGTCCAGATCTTTACACCGTTAAACCAATTAGCTAAATTGACAGCAGATGTGGTGTCATTAGACATACCTGAAATGTATATTTGGGTGTCGTCGGCATAGGAGTGATAATTAACATTATGTTTTTTCATTATGTTACCCAATGGCAGCATGTAGAGGAAAAGAATAAAGGACCAAGAATTGATCCCTGTGGTACCCCATATTTGACCGGTGATATTGACTGTAGAGTGCAATTAATTGGCACTTGAACATATTGATAACGATTAGTCAAATAGGATTTAAACCACTTCAACACCATTCCACACAACCCAACATTAAATTGTAGGTTATGTATTGCAGTAGAATAATCAGCCAAAGGCCGCACTAAGGCCCAGATTTAGCACAGTCGTACCGTCAGCATCAGTTGCCATTGTTATGTCATTTGCTACTTTAGATAAGGCAGTTTCACAGCTGTGTCCCCGACCAGAATGTAACCAGTATGTTGTGTGTCTCCAAGTATGACTGAAGTTAGTTGAATGGCAACTATTTTCTCCAGAATTTTGGACAAAAATGGCACATTAGAGACAGGTCCATAATTGCTGAGCTCCTGTGGACCCAAACTTGGTTTCTTCAGTGGTCTGATTACTGTTACTTTACATTGGTCAGACACATCGCCTGAGGACAGGGACACATTCATTATGGCAGTTAGAGGTCTTGCCAGAACTCCCAGGGATCCTGTAGACGTTAAGTGGGGATTGGGTCCAGTGGACAAGTGGTTGTTTTTGATTTTAGTTCTTATTGTTTTAAACTCATGTTAATTGATTAATTCAAAAACAATAAGGGTGTTTGCATGTTGTGTTTGCATTGGAGTTATTTGTGAGCCATTTAAATATGATTGCAGTTTCATGTTAGTAATTTTATTGTTAAAGAAGTCCATAAGATGTTCTCTACACTCCTCAGGGTATGAGGATATAACCTACTGAGCCACCAGACTGCCCAGCTGTGTAAATGTTTCAAAATGTAACATTAAGCACTGAGCCTAAATGCAACATGACTACAGACACTGAATGTCTCTAACATCTATTGATTACAAATATTATGAGATAAATTATACTTTTGCTAACAATCAACAGCTATTAATCCAACAGCCATATCATTCACATGCTTGCCTATACATTTCACAATTAAATGAAGACAGGAATCTATTGTGCTACATGCTGAAAGGGAACAAAGTGATATTGGTGTGTACACAGCGTGTTGTTAGACCAATAAAATGGCAGATAAGATGACTGAGTCCCCAAGCAAAACATGGTTTTAGCAAATGATAAAGGGTTTTTATATTAGTCCCAGGTGAGCTGTGATTTACCTTGCCAAATGAAGACATTTTTCTTTCCCCTGGGAGAAGTAATGATGATCCAGTACATAGTCCCTCCAACCCTGATGGTGGTAATATCCCAGTGTTGGACACCAGTAGCCCAAAGTGAACGGTCAGGCACAGGTCCTGCAGCATCAAAGACACACACAGTAGAAATTCACTGCGACTGACGTGGCAGATTGAAAATGGAATCACTCCGGTTGGTTTTGGTACAGCATCCACAGCTGGTCTATCAGTTCATTTCACTTCCTTTTGCTTTCTTGTTTTACATGCTAGCCAAGCTGCGCGGCTTCACTCTGACTCACCGGTAAGTGTGACAGATGTACTTGTTTGCTGTATATGGGTGTTTGTACATACAGTATATACACACATCTATAATGTATTTTTTAATATAAATATTGAGTTTAATATGTAGACCTCATATTATTTAATTGATATTTAGTTAACTCACTAAAATTTTAATTCAGTTAATTGATCGAAATGCCAATTATGAGTTTGCAGCATAAAGCGCTAGAATGTATGATCAAATCAAAATGTGCACGTTATGCCTTTATGCATGAATAAATACTGTAGCTGTCTGCTTTTTAAATTCACTTTACGATACACTTAAACTTACATGGACTGGATAAATAACAAAAAGTAACACAGCAGAATTGTTGAATTATCTTTAAGAAAATGGGCAAATTTTGCACTGATAAGTTAAGTCCCGTGAGAAATCTCATGGCAAAACTGTAACAATTTAAACGATGACTTGCTGACCAAAGGTTATCTATTAGTACTTAATGCAATATGTTTTGCGTGCATGCAGAGCCGCTTCTGTAAACTGCGACTGGCTTGAGTAACTTGAATTTGGCTCCATTTTGGCTGCTCCAGGTACCTCTACCTGGCTGTAGGTGGCTGTGTGCTGGCCTCAGTCACCATGGGTCCGTACAGCAGCATAGTGCTTGTCCCTGCGCTCAGCTCCGCTCTCCTGGCCTATGCCCTGCAGCCGCAGGATGTTCACCCATGGATGCTGGGCATTCACATGTGCTGGCAGACCTTCTGGCATCTCAGCATCCAGTACAGCGAGTACTGGCTGCAGGAGTCGTGTGACGGCAGGTACTGCCTTCACTATAGAAACTAATGCCAAGGGGGTTAAGCTCTAATTGTGTTTACTGCTACCTACAGTTCCCCTGTACGTCAATGACTGACTCATCAACCTGAAAAACGGTGTATTATTACTGACTGTTCTAGCAGCTGTAATTTAGAGACATTTGTAGACTGTTCGCTTCTTTCATTGTGTTTTTGGCAGTAGGTTAAGATTGTTACCTTCACAGACAACTTGTTAGAACAATCTCAGAAGGAAAAATGGTATGGTATATTGCACAGGGGACTGTATCTGTGCTAGGGGGTGATTGCACAGGGGACTGTATCTGAGCTAGGGGGTGATTGCACAGGGGACTGTATCTGTGCTAGGGGGTGATTGCACAGGGACTGTATCTGTGCTAGGGGGTGATTGCACAGGGGACTGTATCTGTGCTAGGGGTGATTGCACAGGGGACTGTATCTGAGCTAAGTGGTGATTGCACAGGGGACTGTATCTGTGCTAGGGGGCCAGACACATGGCAAAAGACATCCTACCTCAGACAGCTGAGCAGAAACAGGCTGTTCAGAGTATGGCCGTGCTGGTGTAGTCACCCCTGTCTTGTCCCTCAGGCTGCTCCTGGCAGTGTCCGCACTGATGCTGCTCACCCAACGTGCGACATCCATGTCCATGGACCTCCAGGAGGGCAAGGTCCTGCCCCCGCTGTCGGGGGGTGCTGTGCTAGGCAGGGCCTGTGCTGTGCTGCCTTACCTCAGTTACAGCCTCTACTTCCCTGCCCTGCTGGGGGGGCCCCTGTGCTCCTTTGCCCAGTTCGTGCACTTCGTGGAGCAGAGTGCCAGCAGCCGCCCTCCCTCACCGCTGCGGGACATTCTCTCCAAGGCTCTCTCAGTGGCATCTTTGGAATGGGCTAGGCGCCTCCTCAGAGACCTCCTCATCTCCTACTCCCCAAGTCTCGGGTGTCTCGGTCAGGTGCTGTGGGTGTGGACCTTGTCCGTGGCTTTGAGGATGAGGTACTACTCGCACTGGGCCTTGAGCGACTGTCTGAACAACGCAGTGGGGCTTGGATTCAGTGGCTACAGTCAACACGGGACCCCTCTGTGGGACGGCCTTTCAGACGGAGAGCCATGGATGGTGGAACCATCTAGCCGGCTCTCTCAGTTCACTCGTAAGTGGAACAGAACCACAGCCGCCTGGCTACGCAGACTGATCTTCCAGAGGTACAGAACCACACCGCTAGCGCTAACCTTTGCCTTTTCTGCCTGGTGGCATGGGTTGCACCCCGGTCAGGTAGTGGGCTTCATGGTCTGGGCGGCCGCCGTGCAAGCAGACTACCGAATCCACAACTACTTGCGCCCCCTGGTGGATTCTCGGGGGAAGAAGCTGGTTTATACATGTCTGAGTTGGGTACTTACACAGCTGGTAATTGCATGCATCATGATTGCGGTGGAGTTTCGCAGTGTTGTGTCTTTATTATTGCTGTGTAGAATGCATGCATGCTTGTTTCCGCTGATATATATACTGACACCTTTTCTTATGAAACGGCAGTAATCCATCCCTCCATCCATCGTCCTGGACAGGATCTTGGTGGGAGGGGCACGGCTGTGGTGTATGTTCAAAGTAAACAGTATGCAGGGTAAATTTTAGTTAAAGCATGATTCATTCTTTTCCACAAGTGTATCAATCATAGACCAAACATGAAGGTCACAGAATAAAGTTTTCTTGTAAGATAGAAGTTGTCCTGTGTATTGAAAAGACCACGCCCTACAATGCGAGTGTTACAGGACAAATATTATTACTACCGTCAAATAAGTGTATTTATTTACCTCAGTACCCAAGTAATATAATACTATACACTATATGTAATTAAGAAACATTTTCCAAAACCATATAGGTTTTAAAAAAATAATCTACAATGAGCACGTTTGTGAGGAATACAGTGTTAGATGGTGAGAAAGTATATCAGTATATCAAAAATTTTCAAATCGTTGAGAAGACTTCAGTCTTGTTTAACTATTCTCACTAAATTTATGGTAATAATTTGTGGGTTTTGTGTATAAAAAGGACAGATAGCAGGGGCATGGTTAGAGATGAATGGATGGGGGGGTTGACATTTACTGGGGCGGCGATGTCAAACATATATATAATATAAAAAGTTATGGATGACTTTTTTTACACATTTTTTTTTTAAATACACATTTATTTGGGGGGGGTTAAAAAACTAACCCCCCCCCCCCCTTAAACTAGGCCTAATGACAATCCTGATTGATATAACCCTCCATGCAAACTGGCAAGTAATAAAGATCTGGTTCAGGGGATGAAGTTGAGTTCCATCATCAGAATACAGAACACCAGTATGTTCATAGAAGCATATAGTTTAGCTTAGTTCAGTCCATAACATTATATCTCCGTCTGCAAATTTTGCATATTGTGCCTCAAGTCATTGGCTTCTGAATATTACCCGCTGCTCTAGCTCCATCTAGTGGCCAACTTCTCACATTCGCCGCGGAAACCTGGTAAATGAGGATTTATTGGTCGTGTAAAATGCGAACAAGTATTACATTAGCTGACAGAAATCATCAAAGAAATATCATTCAAATTACAAATAAAATTTATTTGGGAGTCTCCATTTTTTCTAATGCAGCACCATCCCTTTCTTTCCATAAATTACCAGCGACAATCCCTAAAAACAGAAGGAGTCCCAGATTGCGATTAGATGCGAATTTCTTCCAGCAGTCATCTGGCTTATTGATGTCCACAGTGTAAATCTGCAAGCCACAAAAATAAGGTCGAGATAAAACGTTACAGAATATCTGTAATAACAGCAAAGCCACTCAGTGAACTCCAGTGAACCGTCCCCTATCGTCGCCAGCGCTCCCACCTGATTGGCTAGGTGTGCAGCCACCACTGACACGGCCGCGTAGTAGGGCAGCGACTGCTGGGCGTTGACTCCAGCCAAGACCAGCCCCCCCAGCATGGCCAGGGAGAAGCCGCTCAGCCACGGCTTGGTCCTCTGCTGGAAGCGTAAGGCTGTGGATTTGACCCCCACCAGCACGTCATCGGCTTTGTCCTGGGGGAGAAGAAAAACAGACATCGCAATCATGCATGACCTGACCCCCCCCCTCCCCCGCGACGTCAATGAGAAACGGCCACTGTCCATTCTTACCTGATGGGCGTAGATGGTGTCATAGATCAGCGTCCACATGACGCCCGAGAAGTAGAGTGGCAGGCATACCGACCAATCACAGGAGCCCGTTACTGCGGACCAGCCCAGCAGGGCTCCCCAGTTAAAGGTAAGGCCTAAAAAAAAAACCACATATTATTGCTATTACAGGCCATGACACAGGTGTCAAGTTTCATGTTTTACCCATGAGACTGACGGTTGTTTGTCTTTGCTGCTGTGTCACTTACATCTCACACTGTGATACGCTTAAACCAGGCATAAAAGTTTGCTTCAGTATCAGAAATGACCTTCTGTGAAGTCTTATCTGAAGACACATGAAAATGTACACCACCCTCTTCAGCCTCCCTGCAGTCATTTCTGGGTTATAAACCGACACGCCAGGGGTCTCTGCTGCCATCTTGCCTTTAGAACTTTGATTACATTTAAATTCTGTACTATTATTGGTCAGATTGTTGTTTTTTTCTGTGTCTGTTTAACTGCAAGTGTTATGTTGTAATAAAAATAATAATAAAAGCAAAATATACAAGCATGAGGAGTCTTCTTTAACGGCTCACAGTATTCACTGAAATGTCACAGTATTCAATGAAAAGTTTTCCGCCACCAAACACAAGATATACAAGATATCTTAATTGTCATTGTACAAATACAACAAGATGACGTTTGGCTCAAACTGTAGAAGCCTCAATAAAAACTATACAAACTAAATGGAAAGTTAAAGGAAAAAAATTAATCGCATATAGCAATGTACAAATATAAATACACAGTATAAAAGTATAAAAGGAATATCGCACATGAATTGTTGCACAAGATAAATTATTGCAACTGAGAAAGGCAGGTAGTTAAGGTGACACGTATGCCATGAACATCAGAAATCCTGAAGCACAAAAGTAAAAAACTTCACTGCCCTACCCAGCATCAGCTGGGGCCAATATGTGATCCTCTTCATCAAGGGGTAGGTGACCACCAGCGACAGCGAAGCCGCACCAAGAGCTATGCTGAAAAACACAATTTCACAATAAACAAATAGACATTTACCATCTGAGTATTACCTGATATACTTTTGGTACCTATAAATGAGCTGGTTTCCATAAGATCAGTACCTGTAATAATTAAGGCAGAGCAGGACGCCAAGCGCAGCTGTGAGCTGCCCCCCCAGGAAGACGAGGGCCTGAAACTGGGAGACGTCTCCGCAGGCAATGGGCCGGTCAGCCGTCCTGGACACCTGCACAGGTACGGAATGAAAGGCCGATCAGTGCCGGCCCGGGATGCCAATGGCAGAGTGGGGAAGCTGCCGAGGGCCATGACCACGAGGATATGTCACCGGGACCCGGGACCCGGCGGGTACCTTTCTGTCGAAGTCTCTGTCCCACATGTCATTGATGGTGCACCCGGCCCCCCTCATCAGCACAGCCCCTGTGCCGAAAAGCGTCAACATCGCCAAGTCTGGGAGGCATCCAGGGCCTGCAGCCAACCCAATGCTCCAAGTGCAGGGCAGGTACAGCAGCCAAGTACCTGTGTAATACAGAACCGCAGCATTTAATCCACTTATTCACCACATATTACCTGATTTTGCTGATGTAATAACATTACAGATTTTTCAGGGCAATCATTCCACTAATTCCCTTCCATTTATTTTAAATAATATGCCTAGGAATCAAAGGATCATCGAGTTACTAACGTTGTATAAATCGATACTCCACAGAGATATCAACTTCTCAGTGTGAATCACTAACACAAATATCATCCTTATCAAAGACTGAATCCAATGCGAGATTTTCATCTTTTGTTATAATAACTCTGCTTAGGTGTAGGATTTCTTAGACCATGGGCTTTTACGAGGTTTTCCTTTAAAACTTCCTAAATGTTTCTCATTTGGTCGCTGAGCTTTGGCGTCTGTTTCAAATGAGTAGGCAGAAATCCCTGCGGACTGCACTACTACTCACCGATCGGCTTGTCCAGCCTCATGAGTCTGAGGTACGGCTGAACCGCTGACGGGGCGGAGTTCACAATCCCTGCTGCAGACAGACTAAACCGCCTTCTGTCGCTGGACCCTGACCACAGCCCAGCTAGCTGTGCCGGCCATGTCCGTTGTCGGCGGCAAGCCACCCGGGGCCAACGTATCTCCTGAGGACTTGTGACTGCAGATCCTGTCTCCACTGTCCAGAGGCAGCGCTGGGCTGAGATCGGATGGGAACAGGCTCCCTGAGGAAGCTGCCCTCTAGGGACGAGGAAGTGCCGTGATGCGGATCTAAGGATGAGCATGGTGTCTGCTCTGATCACATGGTGCTCCTTTCCAGGGCCTGTTACACATGGAATGAGAAGAGACCTGAAGTCCATCAAATGCTCTCTCCTCACCTCCTTTGCAAATGCATGAAAACAGCAAAGCAGTCATGCCAGGAAAGTGTTAAGTGAGCCATGGGGCCATGCAGACAGGACATTCCAACCCTAAAGTACCAGTGGTATTATACAGGACATATGGTTAGCACTGTTGCCACACACATCTGAGACCAGGGTTTGAGCCATGTCTAATTTGCATGTTCTTCCTGTGTCATTGTGGGATTTTCTCTGGATACTCTGATTTCCCCCCACAGTCCAACAACATGCTGAGGCTGATTGGAGTTACCAAATTGCCCACAGGTGTGCGTGTGTGTGCGATTGGTGTGTGAGTGAGCCCTGCGATGGGTTGGCGCCCCACCCTAGGACGTTCCCTGCCTGGTGCCCGGAATCTCTGGGATCGGCTCCGGCCTCCCTGCGAGTCTGAATAGGATAAGTGGTTTCAGAAATGGATAGATGAATGGAAGAATAAATGATCACCCTTTTATCATAAGAAGGGATAAGAGTTCAATTGTTTAAGTAATACAAATGCTAAGCATGTCACATGACCAGCATCCTGAATGGAATGTTGACAGAATCATCTTCCCAGAATGTGAACATGAGCTTCATACATTTAAAGGCTATACAACGTATTATGACAAAGAGAAATGTTTTCTTAAATGGTCAACTTTAAAACAGAACCGGTCACACAACTGACAAGGATTATGGTGAAAAATACGGCAGAGTGAATAGGGCAACATGTTTTTTTTTTATTATTATTATTATTATTATTAAATAATAATAATACAAAATAAACTGAGATACTGCTACGGACAACAGGTGTAGGTGCTTTTGTTTACAACCCAGGCCAGTCTGGCAGTGCTCCTGTTGCTGTATCTTAACGATTGGCCCCTGATATTCAGCTCAGTCACGGAAGCAGGTTAAGACGGAAAACAAGTTTATGATCAAGAAGTTAACCCAATATCAGAGTCATGCAAGTAGAAAATATGTATTTCCGCTGGTCCTGCTAGCAAATGATTCTGTATTAATATGGACTAGTTATATAATATTGTACATTCAAGTGTTTATCCATCCATTTTTATTATTTCCCGTGTCATGAATAAATATCAGCAAAACAAGAATTCAGCGTTTACGTAACGTGTAAGTGTATAAAATGCAGTGCCAGCGTTATAATTATAAGGCTGCCTATTTTAGTTAGGCAAGAAGCTAGGAGCGCCCGCCTTACTAATAACGAACCGGGTAGGCGATATATCTAAGAGATCTTAAAATCTTAAAACAAATGCGTAAGAATGTGCTTCTTTTGTTTCTAAAATTAAAAAGTTATTAGCCTCAATTAACGTAAACGTTCAGGGTTTAAAAAATAAAGTGATACTGTCATGAAGATTTAACGTTCATAAAACTACAATTAATCAGTCAATTCGCGGTCGCAATCGAGGCAGGGTCTGTTCGCTATCTAATACTGCTATATTTAGTTACTGTAATAGATTACACTTAATTAACATCAGTTTGAAAAAAGCAGGCGATCTACCTTAGGACGTGTGTGTAGTTTTAAGAATCCCTCTAGAAACAAGGCAAATAACATTTGTTCCGCCTGCGCGTAAATCGCCGTATGTAGCCTATTTAAAAAAAAAATAATTCCATCCATCCATCTATCCATCCATCCAATTATCGTGTTAAACAGCATGACAAAATAATTAATAAATAACAAGTGCAAGTCTAAAACGCACGGACTTAAATAATTTTACTTAAAAAATAATGGCATGTTACGGAAGAAGTCATGCATAGTGTGAATTACATTTCCTTCTTAAAAATGTAAAATGAAAATATTAGACCCTTTGTTTAAATATTATTTAATAAAAACAAAATGCTTTGAGCAAAAACTAAACAGCTTAGGAAGGCTGAATAATTTTATGGATCTCATAAAACATTAACATCATTTAAAAAAAAAAAATGTTTATTAAAAGGGAATTTTAAATATTTGCCCTTTTTCACTTCTGCTCCGTGTGCAGGTGTAAAATTTAATCTTGAATCTCAATTCCCATTTGGTGGATGTTTTAGGTTGCAATCTCCCTGTTTGTCAAAAGTTTATTATTTATCTTTCTTGTAAAATCATCAATGTAAAACAGTAGAATATGTGTAAATGTAACTTACAATAGCAGTACAGATACCACCCCCTCACCCCACCCCCAGTGGACAGCCTTTTCACCTTCATGTTGCTGGTTCACTTAATTCCAGCCTCAGTGTCTCATTCTCATTCTGCCTGGGTTTCTGTGGGTTCAGCCCAAAGTACTGCAGCTGATTAGTGTGTTTAGTGTGTGTCTGCTCCGTGATGGTCTGGGATCCCATTCCGTGTGCAGCTGATTAGTGTGTTTAGTGAATGTCTGCTCCGTGTTGGTCGGGGATCCCATTCCGTGTGCAGCTGATTAGTGTGTTTAGTGAATGTCTGCTCTGTGATGGTCTGGGATCCCATTCCATGTGAAACTATATGTAGTGTGTTTAGTGTATGTCTGCTCCGTGATGGTCGGGGATCCCATTCCGTGTGCAGCTGATTAGTGTGTTTAGTGAATGTCTGCTCCGTGATGGTCTGGGATCCCATTCCATATGAAACTATGTAGTGTGTTTAGTGCATGTCTGCTCCGTGATGGTCGGGGATCCCATTCCGTGTGCAGCTGATTAGTGTGTTTAGTGCGTGTCTGCTCCGTGATGGTCCGTGTGTACCCTATCCAGTGCCGTGTGCATCAATGGACATGTCCCAGGATCAACGAGAACATGCACTCGATAACTGACTATGGAAAACAGATAGAAACACAGTTTAAGGCACAAGTGCATATGCAATTATAATAGCGATAGTTATTTCACCGAACACAACAACCTTGTGGTCAGGAAGATGTGTAGGTGAATTTAAAAATGTCATGTCAGTGAATTATTCACGTTTCAGGTGTTTATTGGAAATTATTGTGTCAAGTGGGAGCATGGAGACCCTGGCGTACTGAAATAGAGGGGCTCTGCTCTGTCTAGCTACCCCTCTGGCCTCAGAGAGTACAGGCAAATAGGGGGACAAACAGTTCTGCAATAAGAGACGAGACTGCATGACAAAAGACTATGTGACTATGCAATAAGGTGGTGCATCAGGGATAGATATGCAAACAGCCACTGAGTAATCCTACTAATAAAATAATATTTACAGTAGTATGCAATACAATACAACACAATACAATTCAAATACAATATGGGCAGCAGATACGCGGTACAGAACACATAAATGCTGATTATTATGACCAGGATGGAAGCTTCATTTCACTTTAAAGCCTGCAGAGTGTAGCCTATTTACTTAATTGTTTACTCATTTAAACATGAGGAAGCAATTTCTTTGATAGTTTTCGTAAATCGAGATACCTAATCGAGGAATCTCAGGGAAGGCTACTGTTTTACCCTAGTTTTGGAAAGTATTGTAATGCTATAAAATAGAGTTCACCATCGATAGAGGCGCAACAGTCGCGCCTTGAAGCAGGAAACATCTGAGCGCTTCGGATATTTGACAGCAGCACGTGATCTGTCACGCAGCTCTGCACACAAAGCTTATCCTCGCGGAAGCGACAAAGGGGTTACGCGGTGTCAGCGGGGGGAGGCTACTAACCAGCCACTAAGTATCCGGTTACTGCGGGGGAAACTTCTGTCTAGGAGTACCCAACAGCTGCACGTACACGTACTGTATACTTGCGGCTTATTTGAAGTTTCAGCATCAGGCTTTCACCTGTTGATTGTCTGACAAAATAATGAACGATGAATCTCTTCAGCTTACTAGACCTGAACGAGCTTGCCCTTGGCATGTCCAAACTTTCCATGTTTCCGCTTTTTGACACGGCTCACTATGTGGTTTCTACGATGGCACTGAAGGAGCAGCCAGGTAAGAGGGCTGATTAGCAACTATTAGTAGTTCAACTAGTAACTAGTTGAATGTACCATGTGCAGGGCGGGTTTGGAAACGGAGTGCAGAGTTGCCTTGCAGCGTGGCAAGGTAACGTTGCACTTCCGTAGATTCGTTCAAGTGATGCTTCTTCCGTGAAAAGTAAAGACTCTGTAAGCTTATAGTTTCTACATTATTTCTTGTCTACACCTGTCAGGCACGGATTAAAGTTGTCCGTCTCTCTGAAGAGCGATGCGAGGCTTTCCTTTACAAGCTCACTTTAAACGGTTGCACAATATTCAGATTGATTGTTTTTTCACCCCAAGCAATCCGTTCAAAGTTCGAGTTGAAACTGATAGCTAATGAATGTGTTGAATGGTGATCATCTTTAGTTTTCCCCTACATGATTAGTGTAGTGAATTTTGTGTTTTATGTAGATTATTGCATTCAGCCCTGTTATTTGAATTTGAATAGGAAGTCGTGTCGTACGTAAGACAGATGAGATTCTACAAGCAAAACTAATGTATTATGTAGTATTAAAGCAAATAAATCCTAATTTTTAATGAGGGCAGTTCAGGAGCCATAACCAAATGTTTCATATTGGACTTTGTGTTTACTGTAGTCATATTTAAATGACTAATTAAATTTATGGCATCCTATTTTGTATCCTAATACAAATTCATTTAAAAAGATGGCTTTGAAGAGCTTTAACTTAAACATTAATCCAACATATGCAGTAAAAAAAAAAAAAAAAACAAAAACCAAAAGATTTTTGGCCACATTACATGAACTTTCTGCAATCAGGCTTGTGCACTGGATTGTTGACGCGTATAATATCCTGTCTTTGTCGGCAAACTCCTGTTGCTATTTTGATTGTGGTGGTGACAGGTGGGCTGGAGGGAGAGCTCCCCTATTGTTATACTTGTGCTGTAACTGTAACTGAGTGTAAGCAGTCTATTTTAAAAGGACCGAAATAGCTTACCTTGTTTGGCTTATCTGTTATTATAGTCGATTGCCTGCTGTTCTTTTTGTGTTTTTGAGAGAATTAGTGCTGTAATTCCCTCAACACTTGCAGTTGTTTTGAATAATGATTGGAATAATGCCATCGTGATTAATGATGAGCAGTCCTTAAGACAACCCTTTACATTTTTTTCACGGTCTAGCTCAGGGCTCTTCAAATCTGGACCTCGATTACAAATCCAGGCCTTGTTTTCAGTTCTCCCAGGTAGTTGTTTAATAATTACTGATTCTGATTGGTCAGAGGCTTCACACCTGACTGACAGGTAAAGGAAGGCTGGAAAACCAGCAGTGCTCGGACCTCGAGGACCGTGATTTGAATAACCCTGGTCTAGCTTGACCTATACATTTGGAAGTATACATTTCAATTGGCACTGTCAAGGATATTTACTAAACGATTAAATTACCATGGGATATGATCATGATGAAAATAATTTTAAAATTGATGTGGTAGGAAGCAACTGTGACCCCATACCTTCCGGGCTATGTGTGGTGTGTCCACGTTCTTCTCATTTTGCATGGATTTTCAGTTTCCTCCCTCAGTCCAAAGACATGCAGTTAAGAGAAACGGTGCCTCTAAATTGCCCATAGTGCAGCTGGCCTTTGAATTGTATGATCTGCTATCTACGTCTTGACGGAATGGTATTTACACAATGAATTACATCGTGTTCGCAGTTTTTTCCATTGTGAAACACGGACAACTTGTGCATTTTTTTTTTAAATTTACAAATAATGTTTCCTATTAAATAATTTGTTTTGCAATGTGAACGGTTAAACAGAAATGTCATTTCTGAAACGAGCTTAATGTGCAAAAGCAAAATGAGAAACTGCTATGGATCCTAAGATAAGCAGCCATCTGGCAATAATGAGGCATTGAGCAAAGGGAAGGAACATTTTGCAGGCGAGCAAAGGGCCCCTCAGCCCTGCTCAGAGGGAATAATAGTTTCTGTCTCACTGAGTTTACTTTAACGTGCGGAATTATGTGGTGCGTCTTGGACCTGAAACACAGTGCATCCCTTGAAAGGAGTCAGAGAGGTCCCGCGAGAGGGGGTTGTAGAGATCTGGGCTTTTTCATTCAGGGAAATGTTAATGTTGCAGTGGGGAGGGACGGAATCTAAGCTCTGTGCTGTTGATGTTTGCCCAAATTTTCTTTCAGGGCTTGGGAAAGAATTTAAAGTGACTCAGCATTATTTCTTCCTCCTTCACTCCTATTAAGGAATGAAGGTTTGGCTGAAAGAGATCTGTAGGGAAGTCAGTCTTTTTAAACAGTTTTTATTCTATATACTGTATAAAACCACAATACGGATAAAACCACAAGACTGACGGTTGGAAGGAAGATGTAGGAACCGTAATGCTAAGCTTTTAATTGGGGTGATATATGAAATGTTTTACTCAAATTTTTCAAATGTATCTGTTATCCTCAACCTAACTGTTAACCACTGTGAATGTATTATTTCTGCTAAATTGTCATTTGCATAAGCTTGCAGTTTTGGTTGTGGTCACAACATAATTACTATACTGGAGTAGTAAGTTTCACCCTCAGCTTATTTTCACACAGGAAATTCCTGTTCAGAACTCTATTTAAACTCTATGCTGGCATTTTTTCTCGTCTAGGTGGACACGTTTTGCTTTTTGTTGCAATTACTGTATAAGATAAAGCAAGTTAAAAACACATACACACACGTTTTCATATCTTTACTGTAGGGAGTCTCGATTTGTTTCTGTGGGCATAACCTAACCCCCAACTATGATAATCTTATTCCCTACCCATCCCTAACCTTAACCATAAGTAATCAAAGTATTTTTAGTTTCTTGATTGCATCCAGAGATTTTTATAAAATTTAGTTCTTTTTGAGTTAATTTGTTCCCCACAATATAATATATACATGATCACGCATGCACACACACACACACACACACACATGCACGCACACACTGTGGGTGGAAACCAGATTAACAGGAAGAAACCGAAGTCAACATAGAGAACCTGTAACCACCACATGTACACATGCAAACAGAACCTGGACTGTAATGAATCCCACATCCATGAAGGTGTGGAAGCACAATGAATAACTGCCCAGTCACTGTGCCACCCACTATTGGAATCGTGTAAAACTGTAATACATTATCATGAGTATTCTGGTTACAATGTCCCCAACTTTGCCGGATCATCATTAAGTACCATTTAGAAAATATCACCTCAAGGTGGTAGTAAATACTTTGTAAGGTATATTTTTTTTATACTAGTCAGTCTTATACTATAAAATTTCAGAAAGTGCCATTTTGCTGCCAACTTATTGCGGTATCAGTTTAGTAACAGGAAAAATTCACTCAGACAAGCTGTGTAAAATACAGCAGCAATATGAGATTCTGTTCTGTATACGTAGGTAATGGTAGAAATTTCAACACTGTAACAATGCATCTCAGATACTCTATAAGACTGCAATAATCATTCAGACTCTCTTAATTATAATAATTACTCTTGAATGCTTTGATGCAGTAAATGTTAAACATGTATGCGTGCATTGCGGTATGATGTGATCTGTACACTCAGAAGATGCTATATGTTGCCATTGTATAGCCTTCAGACCAAGCACAGGTGTACCTGCATAGCGCCATCTAATGGTGGCACTGCTGCGTGCGCCCATGCACTCTTTCGTAGTACCTGCAGTGCATGATGCCCCAGAGGATAATTCTGCCTATAGCGTGGGAGAGACAAAAAGCCTTCTCTGTCTGTTCATTTGATTTATATGTCTAATAAAATGTACACACAGCAGTGTGTGAGGGGGGGCCATTGAGTCATCCCTTAAATAGCTCTTTGCCTTCAACAGCTTCTTCCCTTTGGTCACAGGAGCTGTGGATGTGGCCCGGAGGAGCCCTTTCGCCTGCTGGTTCAGCGCCATGCTGCATTGCTTTGGTGGGGCGGTACTCTCAGGGCTGATGCTGGCCCAGCCGTCCGTGGCTCCCCTCTCCAACACGGGCAGTGTGCTTCTGGCCTCCGTCGTCTGGTGAGCGTATTACAGCTTATCCTGGGCCTATGCAGTATGGGGAGCGTGTGACAGCGTATCCTGGGCCTATGCAGTATGG